GACACAGAGAATTTATCCAAAAATAACAGCTTTCATCCCTCTTCTATAATCTAATGCTTTAGAAACTGCAGAAAAGGCTAATATTAATTATTAATTAATCTGTGTTTTTGCATTTTCACATAGCCGCTTTAAGCTAACCCCTTTATTATCTCAGAGGTTCCCAAAGCAAGCTATTTTTGAAGTGCAGGGCAACTACAAAAGCAGCTGTGATGGTGATAGTGGTATTCTAGTGTTGTCAAAAGTCAATCTGTTAAGTCTGTCCTTGAATATGCCTTATATTGGTTTTAAACTGTGGCCAAAGGAAGAACTCTGTACAGTCCAAGAATTTGTACTCAGAATTCTTCAGAAAATCTGAGTCAGGTAAGTGAACTGTGCTTCTGGAGCTATAATCCAAAATATCTGTAAAGCAGAGTTTGGGAAAGATTACTCTTAAACATGAACATAATTCTAGAAAGTCTCCATTGAGAAATTTTACTATTAAGAGCTATGGCGGCGCAGTGATTAGAATGCAGTACTGCAGGCTATTTCTGCTGACTGCCAGTTGCCAGCAATCCTGCAATTTGATCTCACAGGCTCAAGATTGACTTCCATCCTTCTGATGTCGGTAAAATGAGGGGCCAGATTGCTGGGGGCAATATGCTGACTCTGTAAACCACTTAGAGAGGGCTGTAAATCTTGGTGGAGTGGTATATAAGCTATTGTTATTAACTGAGACTGTTTGTGTACAATTGAAGCAGGAAATGGGTATATAGATAGTGCTCAGTTAATGACAGTAATAGGGATTGGAATTTGGAACTAAGCAATGCAGTTACAAAATGTGATAACACATGACTGTTACTGAGCGAGGATCTGCATTGTTAAACGAGTTCCAGATGCATTGGAAGTAGGCCAGGTGCCTTGGAAGTAGGCCAGCAGGCAGTCAGATAAACCAGAATGCATGAGTACAACAGAGGTGGCTGATGCCAGGCAGGGAGGTATGCGAACAATTTATTGTAATGACTTGCAACCTTTTCTGGCTTCCCCATTGACTTTTCTTGTGTGAACCTAGTAGGGAAAGTTGCAAAAGTCATATCACTGTGGGATACTGCAATCAAGATAAATGTAAGCCAATTGTCTAGTGCCCAAATTGCAATCACATGATTATAGGAGTGTTGCGACAGCCAAAACGTTTGAGGACCAGTCATAAGTCTCCTTTTTCAGTGCTGTCACAACTTGCTGAATGAATGGTCCATTTTTTAAAAACCATTTAAAAAAAGGAAAAAAAAGAAAACGGATTTAATTTTTTTAGAATGTTATAGTTCTGCTGAGGTTTTTGATTGCTTTAAGTCACCAAGAACATCTATAGAGACATCACAGATGATGCAAATATTTTAAACAAGTCCAAATTACATAATACCCTGAAAATATGTAAGAGCCTATTTTCAAGTGAAGGCATTCAACACATTACCACAAATGCATATTTTAAAACGCAGTGGATCCCCAAAAATACACTACACTCCTTGATCAGGAATTTCTGAGATGAAAGATGACTATTAGGACTCTGACCTAAAATGCCAGTGCTAAGATTACTTTGAAGTATTGAGAAATGTCTCCTTTCTTGAGAATAACTATATTTTAGCAGATATCTGATGAATGTATGACAACCATCTAACCAGCCTGCAGATTTAAGAATCCACATGTAGGCTGAGAAGATGCCTGCTCACACATACACATAATAATATGTTGATAGAGGAGAGGAGGTCAAACATGGTATTAACTTCATTGACCAATACTCCTTCCATATTTTGGGTTTTTTTTTGTATAAACCAAGCAAATAACAATTTAAAAATGTTGAAGACGCTCTTGACAAAAAGTTACCTCAGGGCTTGAAATGTTAACTCTACTTTTGCGGCTGAGACAAATGTTCAGAATTGCATTAAGAATTAGAATATTCACTCAAAGCTATGACACTTTAAAACTATTTTCTCTAATTTTTATCATAAAACACATTTAAATAATAAATATTCAGTATTAAACCTATCAATGAATATTATGGCCCACTCTTAGCAACTTGTAAACCATGCATATCTAAAACTTTGGAAATGAAGCAGTTCCAGTGACACTACTATACAATACTATTTTATTAAATCAGCCACTAGATGGCAGACTAAACGCTTCTACTTGCTTCCTTTATAGTCTATTTGCCCAACACAAAAGATGAATGACTTCAAGAAAATCTAGAACAAGTGGCAGAACATACTTCAAAGCTGCCCTACAGCCACTAAATGCACATAGTGATTATAGTTCTTCCCTGCTGAATGTCCCAATAAAGGTAAAGGTTCCCCTCGCACATATGTGCTAGTATTTCCTGACTCTAGTGCTCATCTCTGTTTCAAAGCCAAAGAGCCAGCGCTGTCTGAAGACTTCCCCGTAGTCATGTGGCCAGCATGACTAAATGTTGAAGGCGCACAGAACACTGTTACCTTCCCACCAAAGGTGGTTTTTACTTTTCTACTTGCATTTTTACATGCTTATGAACTGCTAGGTTGGCAGAAGCTGGGACAAGTAACAGGAGCTCACTTCATTATGTGGCACTAGGGATTTGAACCACCAAACTGCCAACCTTTCTGATCGAGAAGCTCAGCGTCTTAGCCACTGCGTACCTGAACGTCCCAATATCAGTGTTCAAATCTAAAAGACTTGAGGTACCAAATTCAACCAAGTCTTCATAAATCCAGATTCTTAATCAGGCCTTCTTAGTACTATAAGGAGAAATATATCTTGGGAAGAATGGATTCATGTGTTCTGGGGATGGTCTTGGTTGTACCTCCTGAAGTAACAAGGTGCAGAGCTAAGATGGTTATAGAGCAGCTACTCGTCAGCTGAGTTCCATATGATATTTTCTTTGTCTTATCTATTTTGCAAATAATCTACCTACACATCCTGGAGTAATAAAAGGATATCAAGAGAATAGCTAGAAATTCTGAAAAGAGAAATTCCTGACTCAGCAATTCTTCAAAAAAATTAAATCCATCTTCCCTGGTCTCCTGCTCCCCATTATCTTAGACTTCAACCTCCATCTGGAAATAATGTAGCCAGGGAAGCCTGCTCTACGTAATTCTGGATTTCAGTCATGAAAATAAACCATTTTTTAACAGAGAATTATGGAAAATGAGGATAGTCCTCATCGTAAGTTACGACTGTCCACTTAGAGACCGTTCAAAATTACAATGGACACCTGAAAAGGAACTTACGATCCAATTTTGAATATCCGATGGCTGCACACACACACAGTCATGTGATCGCATTTTGGGTGCCTGGAAACCAGCTCAGCTTTACAGCCATTTGCAATATCCTGAGGTTGCATGACTATGATTTTTGACATTTTTTGCTGGATTCCGGTATTCACTTCCAGTTTCCAGCAAAAATCATCCAATGAATAAAACAGATTCATTTAACACTCACCAAGTTCGCTTCACTTAATGACTGCTGCATTCACTTAACAACTATCAGAAAAAAGTTATAAAACCATTTAATGACCACAACACTTAATTACAGGCTCAATTATTGTTGTTAAGTTAAGAACTACCTGTCATGGATTCTAACATATTAGTGTATTAATAAATATTTACATTCTATTAATATTTTGTTATTTTCTGGGAAACCAAAAAACTTGAAACGAGCCATAAAATTTGTATCATCCAACAACTGCCTCATAACACTTATAAAATGGATTTGGAACAGTGGTGGGTTGCCAATTTTTTTATTACCAGTTTGGGGGGGGCACATGATGCATCTGCGCTGGGTGGGTGGGCAGAGCCTCCTGCCGCCGGTACTACTGGTTTGCCCAATCTGGGCGGAACTGGGAGCAATCCGCCTCTGATCTGGAAGCATGTCAAAGTGATCCAAGGAAACACTTTGTGAAGGCATGGACTATATTTTACTGACCAGAACAGTTTTAATTCAGCAGTTGTTGATCAATCCCTATTGTTGATCATAATTTGTACTCTTGGTCAGCAGGGATTCAAGGGCTGAACTACAGTAATTTATTCAAAACAATTTTATGTGAAGACAATTACTGAATCATAAAATTATGGTTTCATAGTCAATACAGTAGAAATGCAGCTTGAAACGCTTTCAGTATTCAACCATTATTCTTACTTTCCCATTTTTTATTCTCATACAATATTCAACTCTTTGCCCCACAGTCCATTTTATTACTTTAGATAACCTTCAATGCGCCAAGCAACCTGTTTCCATCTGGGTAATCCATAACAAATTGCAAAGCACAAAAAGTTGTTTGTATAAGATAGTGGATAACAATACCACTATTTCACTTAAAGTCAGCTTAAACCAGTTTAATGAAATACATGCAGCAGAAATATAGGCATTTATGGCAGTAACACAATTTAAGTTCTAACAAAAAGATCAAATAGAAGCATTTTTGATTATATATGTTGGGGAGGCTGTTTATACTATTCTAGTCACTAAATCTCAAAAAGAGTATTTGGATTGATACAGAAAATTGTATCGCACGACATTATGAATGAAGCAACTCTTGCTATGAAGACAGATGGGGGCACAACTGAAGCATGTGAAAATATATGGCAGGTTTAGGACAAATTAAATCAATCAAATGTCTATATAGAATATAGCAGACATGTGGAGTGTGTTACTGTAAGATTTCCTGAGACCAAAAAGGGAGCAAGACAAATTTATATCAATATATTATCTCTAGGAATCAAGGTCTCTTAACTTCTTAATATTAACCTCTTAATATTAATTGCTAGAAAATATGAATGGAAGGGAGATAGCACACTTATGTCCTGTCTATGGACTTTCTATTTGTACCTGGATAAGAATCAGAAAATGGATTAGGTAGGTCTCTGCTTCTATCTATATAATATTGCCCATGTACATAGAAGCTCCTTCTCTGAGAACAGCAAGCAAGTCAACATGTGATCCATTCAATAAACACATGAAAACATTTTTAGAAGTAAAAAAACTGGTCAGTTACTTACTGATGTAAAAGCAAGAAGCTCCTCTTCTGTAAGTTTATGGACAGGATTGTTTTTCTGAAAGTCTATACTGTAAAAAAAAAGAATACATTTTTATTCATGTAGCTTTCTTTTTATATATATATATAGCCTGAGCCTGAAGATGCGAGTGAGACCTCGCTAAAACGTTGCCAAGACAATCTCAATCTTACACGGGAAAGGACCCGAATACAACAAGACCAGCATATCTAAACCTGTGAAAATCTACTAATATACATACATATACACACACACACAGACAGACAGACAGACAGACAGACAGACAGACAGACACATTATTAAATGTTTACATCAATTCATCTTACCATCAACTCCCAAAAACAATTATTGGCTCTTCTACTATCCCTAACTTCAATATTTTTTTATATAAAGGTTTTTATTTTTTCATTTTCATAACATATAACCACATGTATACTATTACATAGCCACATCATATTATATTATTAAATGTTTACATCAATTTGTCTTCCCATCAACTCCCAAAAACAATTATTGGCTCTTCTACTATCCCTAACTTCAATATTTTTTTATATAAAGGTTTTTATTTTTTCATTTTCATAACATATAACCACATGTATACTATTACATAGCCACATCATATTATATTATTAAATGTTTACATCAATTTGTCTTACCATCAACTCCCAAAAACAATTAAACAATTATTGGCTCTTCTACTATCCCTAACTTCAATATTTTTTTATATAAAGGTTTTTATTTTTTCATTTTCATAACATATAACCACATGTATACTATTACATAGCCACATCATATTATATTATTAAATGTTTACATCAATTTGTCTTACCATCAACTCCCAAAAACAATTAAACAATTATTGGCTCTTCTGCCCTTCATACAACCTTTTTGTACCTTATCCATCATTTTCTTCTCCCTCTGTCCTCCTCCTCCCTACCTCCTTTCTTCCCTCTGTCGTCCTTCTTTACTTCCCCTTCCTCCATCCTCTCTCCTTCTCCTCTCTCCCCTTTCCACTCCTTCTTTCTTTCCTTCTCTTCCCCACCCCCGCCCTCTCTCCTATCTCTCTTTTCTT